GATGCAGAAAACAAGGGATTTCGGTGGAACTTGATTTCGGGCTGGTGGAGGAGAAGAGGCGTGATTTGGCGATCGCGCCGCGCAGGGCTACAATAATAAAATATTATTTAACACCAGTTTATTTCTATTTTGACGTAAAAGTCATTCAATTTTGTATAAGCTGTACGTCAAAACAAAAATAAAGTGGTGTAAAATAATATTTAGTGTAGTCCTCCGCGCTCCCAACCAAATAACTTTGCTTCCTCCGCCAGCCCGAAATCTAGTTCCACCGAAATCTCACAGACATATAGTACGCGTTGTCAAATTTCAATTCCCAGCGCAATAAACCCGCTCTCTCACTGGATTAAGGTACTAATTTTTTGTTACGTGGTATCTGGGTGACCTTTTCATGGATCGCCCATCTCCTTTTTGCCACCGTACAGAGTTGGGTACTGAGAGTACATCGTTGAAATATTACCATGAACATGTATAGGACTGTACTATATAAATGTACTATATAAATGTACTATATAAATGTACTATACATGTACTATATAAATTCATGAATATTACAATACATTGAGGCAATGGTAAAATTGTAAAATCCATAAATTCTGTAAACTCTAAAAAACCAAACTCTACAACAATCTGTAAACTATAGTTTACAAATTGTTGTAAATTTACTCATATCAAAGGCGTCGTTTTGTTTTGCAAAAGTTTATAAAACTAACTATTTTACAAAACGCACGAATTTCGCAAGTTTCCAATGATTTCTTTAATTCCTCAATTTAAATTAATTGTTTAATATTTACAAGAATATCAAGAACAACAATTTGGAACATTTAGACGCCGAAACAGACAAGGTAAAAAGTTAACCATAAATTTCAAATGTAAAACAGGTCGGCAGCTGGTTGCTGGGAATTTAAAATCATTTTTACGGCCTTCGAATAGTAGAATTCACGCAGGGCTTGGTATTTAACCTTGTAAAATCTGAAAATTCCTTAAACTTGCAAGCTTTTGCAAATATTTCTGAGGAACTTTAACCCCTAAATTTTCATAAACTTGCTTATTATACGTATGTTGAAATGTTTATACATATGGACATATTTATTTACACAAATTCTTCCTCCTCTTCGCACAGATCACGTCCCCACCTCGGAAGAACTGGAGTCCTCCTCTTCCTCCCTGGACGAGGAATCTTCCCCCACCACGGGTCGCACCTCAGGTCGCGCCACTTACTGCGCCGGGCGTGCTCACCACCACCACCGCCATCACAAACGTAGTAACAAGTCGACCTAGGGATCTTCAAACAGTGGGGGCGGCGGCGGGGGGCAAATCATCCCGCGCGTCCGGTCCAGCTCTGGGTACTCCTCGCATACGGAGGAGACTTCTTTCACCACGAGGGAACAACTGCCCCCAAAATTTTCGGAGGAAAATTTTCGAAAATTTTCGAAAAACGTGCAGGATCAGCTTCTTCACGGAAATGACGACGTTCCTGGAGCGAAAGGGTTTTCAATGAAGCGAAATCCGGGAAAACAAGAGAAACAAAGGCAAAGCCGAAATAAAAATAAGGGAGGCTTCCGATGTTTGACACGATTAGATGGGCACTAAGCCGCCGGAGAAAGTTGGATTTACAGTGTAATAAAAGTCCAGGATAATTAGGAAATTTAGCTTAAAATCACGGTGCTATTGCTACATTTCCTGCACTGCAAAGTAAGAAATGCGAGGTGCAGATACTGTAACTGCAAAAAATAGCGCCATCGAACCACGCGATGTTTGAAGTATAGCGTGAAGGAGTTTCTTGCGCCCTGAATTTCTTCAGTCTTCAGTCAGTCATCTCGATTTCTGACTGAAGATTTTCAGTAATTTTCTTCTAAATTCATTTCATTTCACTTCATCGGACTTCATTTCTTATTTCGCCCCATGTATTAAGCATAGGATGAAAAATGAAATGAGTGAGAAATCCTTTCATTCACAATCACTCATCTGAAACGAAGGAATCTTTCACTCATTTTCATTCAAATCACAAGAAATTCATTTTCATTCACTATCATTTTTTATCATAATCAGTCTAATGAATGAAAGTGAACAGGTATGGTTCCCACTTTTCTGATGACATTTCATTGATTGAAGTGGAGTGATTGTGGCATGTCACTGGGAAAGTGAGATTGTCTCAATTTTGCTCACGTTTACTCATACGTCTCAGTTTGCCTCGATCTTAAATTTCACTTACACAGCTCGTCGAAATGTTACTCATGAAATATGTATGAAATTTTAAATTCATAATGAGTACATTTAAGATTATATTTTTCAATCAAAATAAAAATAAAGTTGGTTAAAGTTTAACCTGTCAAAATTCATGTGAAAAATATTTTTATAATAAATTTGTCAAATTTGGGCACCGCTACAAATTAATTTAATTGAAATATGGTTTATAACACATTAGATCTTAAAAATGTCTAGCATGGGGTTCAATAAGTATTTCTTTATTTTGTAAATTTTGGGGCACATTAAAATATATTTTTTTCACAAAACTTCTCGTCTTCTATTAACAATTAATTCTTTTAAAAATATTCTTCTATAAATTTATCCCTGCTTTAGCCACATGGAAAACAAATCAAATCGAACCAAAATTTTGGAGCATGTTTCACTCGTACAGCTCGTCATTCCGTCATTTCATTGATTTCATTTTATCTTTTTTGACACGACGGGACCAAGAACGTCTTGTTCCCGACTTTCTCTTCCGCGTAATTGCCATCGCGTGAATTTCACGTAAATTTCATATTTGTAACTATTTAATACTGCATTAAAATACAAATTTTAAAAATTTCTTGTAAATAAATAGAAGAATAGAAGAGAGAATATTGATATTCATCACTATTCCGGTCTAATCCATACTTTCTCTCAATTACACCGGCGTATAGTACAAAAACACGTTTAAATTCCGCTTTTTGGATAACAAGATTTTGCATAAAAATTACCAAACATTTTTGGAAAGTTGTTAAATTCATCGTTGTAAAGCTCAGAGCAAATCTGTAATTTCATTTTGGAAATAAATAAAAGTAAAAATAATTTGAGAATGTTTTAGTCATGCATGCATGACGATTCTATTTTACAAATTAACAACTACTGACCATGTTTACAAAAAGATTACAAATGAAGATCATCCTCTTTTTTTAGCCAACCTTGAATAATTTTACTGATTTTTATTTAGAGTGCAGAAAAAGGTTGCGCATACATATTTTCACAGGGTTTTGCTAGGTTTTAACGTCTTTATTGCGAAGGAAATAATTTATTTATTAAAAAATCTGTTGTTCAGATTGATCTTTGAGGTTACATTGCAAAAATATCCATGCCAGTTTTGTCGTCTACTTCATTTCTGAAAATTTCTATCGGTAAATTTTATGTCCAAATTTGGTGAGCTTTGTGATACATGAAAAACTTTCAAAATTGTTAGACCAGAAATGAACATACATTTATGAAGATTCTGTTCCACAAGTATTATTATTAAGTACCACACTTTCATCGTAATCGAACATTAAGCGTTGAGAAGTGACAAGTTCATGAAGAAAGTAACGGCGATATAAATACGATGAATAAATAGATAAATGCGATACAAGATAGGTGTGTACGTGAACCTATTTATAAGTCAGTGCCACTTGACCCGAAAAAATGGGTGCCTGTTTGCCCTTTTGCTAATTGGGACGAGATGAGACAACACCTGTTCAGAAATTTAGTTTTCATTCAAAAGTCAGTCATCCCAATTTCTGATTATCATTCATATTCAGTCATTTTCTTTCAAATTCATTTCAATTCATCTGACTTCATTTATTGCTTCGCCCATGTATTAAGAATAGGTTGAAAAATGAAATGAGTAAGAAATCCCTTCATTCACAGTCATTCATCTGAAATGACGGAATCCTTCAGTCATTTTCACTCAAATGACAGGAAATTCATTTTCATTCACTTCATAATCAGTCAAATGAGTGAAAGTGAACAGGTATAATTTGGATAAACTACGTATGTCTGAACAATTAAATGAAAAACCCACGGAAGAAGATGTGGGATTTTCGGAGGATTGCATACGCGTTGAGAGGAAAAATAAGAAGGAAGTGTGGTACGAGGAATCGAACCTCGTGTCTTTCTCATGCCGGGAGAACACCTTACCACTAGGCTAACCGCCCTGCTTCCTATCCTTGCTCTCTTTTGCAACCACCAAATTCCACTATTCTCTCCTACAAAGATATCATATAGAAAAATCCATGCACTTTAATAAGTAATTAACTAATTAATTTCTTAATCACCTGGATTAAACGTAATTTAAAGTACGGACCAAAAATAAAAATAAAACTTTGTGAAACTCATGCAATTCAACTTTTTCTCGTCATTTACTGTACTAAATATTATATTAAAACTGTTTACATAAACTTATTCATTGGAATAATTAAACAGTGTTAGAAAATTTCAAAAAATATTATTCTTTTCATTATTATTTTTCTATTATAATTAATTTTAATTAATTAATTATCTATTATTATTAAAATATTATTCTTATCTACATTTTTTTCAGATGTTTATAGTCGAATTTTTACAATTTATAATTCTCCAATTTCTAAAAATTTCTAAAAATCGTTTTTTTGTTGCAGATTATGTCAATTTTTTTTTACATAAACGTGTAATAAATATTTCGACGACACAATCTCACGATCTTTGAAATTAATGGTAACTGTGCGTATTTTCTCTTTTTTTTAGCGGAGGCGAATACCTACAAATTTTTAAAGATTTAGCAAATTTACAAAATAACGAATTTCCAGAGGATAAAAAAAGACTCGAAAAAGATTCGAATTTCAAGTATAAGGCTGGACTTATTCGTGGATATATGATACACTCTTGATAATCCGGTGAAGTCCCGCAGGTAATGATTTCACGGTAATAAATTTGGTAATAATGTTTTACCAGGTAGTAAACATTCGTTACCATGATGGTAAAACTTTATTACCAAGCCATTACCACACGGTACAACTTATCATTACCACTTTGGTAGAGTCATATACTTGTGCTCAAGGCGGTGAACAATTATTGTAGTTATGGAGAGAAGTATTCATGAATCGTGACGTACTGGCCCACCAGAAATCTGAAAGAAATGGGCGAAAAATTCGTGATAACTTTATAAAAGTGGTTAAAATGCACATGTGTCGATACGAAGATATGAATCTGTCTGTAACAAAAGTTAGACGAAAATCCTTCAAAAATTTTGAAACCCATCAAATTATTAGTAGTTCTTGCAAAGCAATTTTGAAGATTAGAAACATGAAAATCCATGAATTTACCAGAATTTCTGAAATTTATAATTGAATAAAAAAAGAGTGAACTATTGTAAAGAAATTATTTCCGTGGGGCGCAGAATCTTCCGCTCTACTCGACTTGGTGAGCACGTGACTGAAATGAGACGGAACATCTTAATGCCGTAAACATCTGCTTGCTTTTGTTGTTATTGTCCTTTGAATTTATAAAAATATGTCATTTTTTCAAGTCCAGCTACGGCACTTCTCTCAAAATCTCAAAATGGGCGTCATTACAGCTCAACGCGGCGGAATGTTGAATTTAAACCGTCCCATAGAAATAATTACATTACAATAGTCATCTACAAATGGTTTGAAAGACTAGGCTAACTTTCCAAGATTCAAATATGTCGTTAAATCCACACGTAAAACAACATCGCTGACTTGCCTTAAGAATAATTGATTGACTAATCGTTAAATTAAGAATATAGATTTTGAATGTTAGATTTATTTTTAAAAATTTTCGCGAAACTATTGAGAGGGAATTCACACAATCCTTGACAGCTTCGTAAAACTCGTAAAATCCTTAAAGTCACAAACTCGTACGAACTTTTACAAATTTTCCAAGGAAAATTAGCTTACGAATATTTGTAAACTTGCTCATCCTCAGATCAACGGCGTTTTTTATTTGTTTTGTAAATACTTGTGAAACAATTTTACGCAAATTACGGATTTTATAAAGTTACCAATGACTGCGTGAATTTCCTCTCAGCTTATCGAGGTATACTGATTTTGGCTGTAAAATACGAATTGTTTGCTAAAGTTGTAATTCTGGAGATTTCGATAAATTTAACGATTTTTCAATATTTGGGATTAATTCTGCATCAAATTCGTTTATCGTCTACAATTATTTAAAGGCTCAGATTGGATCTAAAATTTATTAAAGCAAATAAAATTGTCAAACAAAATTCAACATGGCATTAAAATTTGTCAATTAGACTTTTTCACTTGTATCTTTGTAACCATTAAATAGTGTAAATTTTATAATATCGTTCTAGCGATATAGCCTATAGGCACAAGTTACGAATTGCCTCATTGTATGTAAAAAATATCCAATTATGCAAAGGAATTTTTCAACATGTAATTAAGTAGTTTTCAAACTCTACAAAATTACAAAAATTTGTGACAGAATGGTTTTCAAGAAATTATGATCAGTCAATTCACGTAGGTGTCTGGTAACATGGTAAAATTACTAATTTTGTGAAACAATTTTAAAAACTTTCACAAAACAAAAAGATGCCCTTGATCTGAGTAAGTTTACAAAAATTTGTAAGCTAATTTTCCCTGGGAAATATTTGGAAAGCCGGTAAAAATTTGTAAGTTTACGGGTTTTACAAATTTTGTAAAGTTACTCTGCACTGCGTGAATGCCCTTAATATGAAACTCATCCAAATTGATAGTGCAAGTTTTTTCACAAACTAAAAATTTGTTTTCTTCACCCACCTTTCACTTTCTGGGAGTGCGAAGCCGTCCAGCGTCCATGTGAATTGCGGGGGTGGATTTCCGACGGCGGTGCATTTCAGCGACACAGAGGGACCCGGCTGGATCGTTTGTTCTGAAAAGCGATACACCAGCTCGGGCAGGACGGCTGGAAAAAAGCGAAAATACAAGTGAGCCAAACTTTCTATTTATTAAAATTGTAAAAATTGTAGAGTTTCATGTTACAGAAAAAATAGATTCTAATGCTCGTTAATAAAATAGAGACAAAAATAATGTGATAGGTTATTTGGCAAAGTTTGCTTATATAGAACATAATAAAATTAAAATAAGCATTTCTCGACATTATCTGAACGAACAGTACGCAGTAATTTTGAGAAATTTAAAAGGTTATAGATAAATTCATGCAGCAATTTCACGTGGATGCATGTGTGTAATTCTGTAAGTTCTGTAAACTTTCTATTGTTTCGAAATTCCTATTCTGAACTGTGAAATCTATAAATCAATGGAGTATCTTAAATTTGTAAACAATCAAATTTTAAAAATTTAAAAATTTTGTAAAATTAACAGTTGATCGCCGTGGGCCTTTTATTCACTCATTGGGAATTGGGATCCAACATTTGGAAGATCTGCTATTTACAAAAGCGAAAAAACTGACTAAAGAAATAAATTCTGACGTGTAACAAATGCAAAACTGAAAATATAAAATAAATCCAAACTTGCAATTCTATCAAATATGTTACTAACCGAGAAAAGTATGCGAATTGTTCTTTGGTGGCAATGTAGAAGTTTACACAGTTTGCTGAATTACAAATATACACGCGAATAACTTGAAAATATTGTAATTGGAAATCACTTAAAAAAAATTTCCTTTCGCGAAATTGAAATTTTAAAAACTTTTCCGCTTCTACATATGTAACTCAAATTAATTATAAGAAAATATTTTTAAAATTCAAAATCGAGCGCTATCCTAACATTCTAATCGTAAATCCGTCGTTAATCGTAAATCGTCTAATTCTAATCCCATTAAAAAACTGGTCATTCACAAAATTGAAATTTTAAAAGTTTTCCCGCTTCAATGTATACCAAATTAATGACCGGAAAGACCTAAAATATTTATAAAATTCAAAATTGAGCACCATCCTTACATCCTAATCGTATCTGGGAAGAGTCCTGCCCCGTCGAGAAATCATTGGAGGCGAGGCACTGATACATCGATTTGCGGAAATCTCCCGTCCACCGACTCCCGCCCGCGTTCTTCCGCCCATTTACACCCGCCCGTGGAAATCTTCCGCCCACCGACTCCCGTTGACCCTCTCCCGCCCATGAAAATCTCCCGCCCGTAATTTTTTTTAGTACCAGATCTTTTTGTTAAATAATACATAACACAACATATTTAAGTTAATATATATAAGTATTTATTTAGTCAACAGCATTAAGCATCAATCATGTAACCCGTAAAAAGCACTGTCAGTATTCTTTTACAAAACGAAAAATAACAACACGCGAAATAATAATGAATACAAATCGGACAACCTCACTTAAATTAATAAAGAAGGATAAAAATCATTACAAACGAATAATCTAATTATACAAATTATCGGAATCGGATACGGTAGGCAACTTATTATTAAGAAAAAGGCTGTTACTGGAAAAAGGTTGTTATTAAGAAAAAGGTTGTGGCATATGTATTTCATTTCCTGTGCCTGTATGTTGCCAAAATATTCTTGTATATATTCATTGAATAATTTGTAATTAATAATATGAATAATTCGAAAATTTGTTTAATTAGATTATTCGTTTGTAATGATTTTTGTCCTTCTTTATTAATTTAAGCGAGGTTGTCCGATTTGTAATGTATTCATTATTATTTCCCGTGTTGTTATTTTTCGTTTTGTAAAAGTATACTGACTGTGCTTTTAACGGGTTACATAAGTGATGCTAAATGCTAAAAAAATCTTGTACTCGAAAAAAAATTACGGGCGGGTGATAATTAGGGCGGAAGATTTTCACGGGCGGGAGATTGTCAACGGGAGTCGGTGGGCGGAAGATTTCCACGGGCGAGAGTAAATGGGCGGAAGAACGCGGGCGGGAGATCGTGGTCGGGTTACTTCCGTATCCGGAAGATTGACCTAATTTACAATAAATTGTGAAAATTCCAAATGTTCAGCTATCAGTTGAGCTTCTACCATACTAAAAACTCACTACTTTCTATATCATCTGATTTCTAATATTTCAAAACTTAATAATTCTTAAGAGTAAAGATCGCTCTTTGTTCCCTAAGTTTCTGCACTCATAATTTTCAAAAACAACAAATTAGATTATTATTCCTTCCTTGTATAAAATGATACCGGCCCCACTTTCATCGTGCATTATGTTGCGATGCATCATTGATGCAATATCTTCGTTCCCCCCCTCGACCGGAATTGAGCCCGAGAAGGAAATGAAATCCAAACAGAGACGAAGTGAAAGTGAAGTTGCAGAGATGGGCAAAATACTCATAAATAAATACTCTATTTTGACTAACAATGCGATGGTGAGAAGTGTAACATTTTTTTAATTCCTGTCAACACCCCTTCCGAAATTTTGGAATTAAATATGAAGACAACTAAAGTTTTGTCTTGCAGTTTGTACGATGGTTCGGATTAATTAAAATCTATCAGATCAAGTTTGACAAATTTGATTTTTACCCGGTGACGAAGCAAACTGCAGTTTTATTGGTAAAAATCGTTTATCTTAACTATGATCATTTGACCTCAAATACTTATGTCGATAAATTCTGATCATCGCACAAACCGCTTCAAGAAAGATTTTTTATATTGACTCGAACTTCATAATTTCTAAAAAAAATATGAGTGTTGCACTTCACTCTACTGCATTCTAAATATTTTTCCCAGCCCTGTGAAGTTGCTGGAGTCGTTTCAACATTTCATTTCATTTTTGCTTTCACCTCGCCTCACTTCACTTCACGGCACTCCGAATTTTGTGCTCACATTTGCACTCCCCTTCCCATCCTCATTTCCACACTGTAAATAAAGTTGAGTAAAATTGCCACCAAAACAACTGTTGAGCAAAATTTACCCTGACAAGAGTAAAATTTACTCAAAGTTGAGCAAAAATCTTTCAACCTTGAATAAATTTTACTCAATACTTGCTTTGGTGGCAATTTTACTCAAAATTGAGCAAATTTTAATCAAATCTATTTATAGTGCATCCAGCCAGGCCGGAGGAGGATCCATTTGGCTCTCTTCGTGGCTTGGTTTCGGTCTGCGGCTTCGTTGCGGTTTCGAATTCGGATGAGATTTTGGATCGCATATTTGTTTAAAATTTTATTATGTTTTAGTTCAGAATGCAAAATACAAGATACAAGATACAAAATTTTTGAACGAGATTTTGTGTAATACCGTATAAATTGTGTTAGACGTTCTCAGATTGATAGAACGTGCAGAATTTTTCTGATAATTTCTATTTTTTGAACGCTCGACTTTCTGGGGATGAAAACTAAGCCGTTCTTTAGCCCAGATTATAAACTAACGCATTATTTAAGCCCAATTAGAATGAGACATATCCATATTTAAAGATAATTAATTAGGTTGAATTTTAACGCCATTTACTTTATTCACGACTTTTTATGAAACCAATGCAAATTTAGATTCATCCCGGTTATTTTGTTCGGCTTATCCTTAGCTTGACCATAAAAAAATATGACCACTTTTCAAGATGAAATACAGTTGAAATTTCGAACTCAAAAAAAGTACACATTTTTCCTTGGAACCATACAAAACGTGTTAAGCGTGTTTCTTGATAATCAGGATGAGACAAATTTAGAGATAATTAATTATGTCGAGTTTTAATGCCATTTACTTTATTCATGAGATTTTAGTAAACGATGGAAAAGTTAGATCCATATGGTTTTCGGTAGGAGTTGCAACATATTTAATATAAGGAACAAATATCATGAAAAGCTGCATGAAGGTTACCATATTCAAGTTATTATTAGTGACAAATCTTTACCAGTAATGGTGAATACACGATTTTGTTACCATCTTATTTTGAGTGTAGATATATAGATTTGTCAAATTTTACAAAAAATATGGCCACTTTTCAAACTGACATAAAATTGAAGTTTCCACCTCAGAGAAAACGGATGCCATCTCCTCTATAAATACATGATTCTTCTCCTCCGCCAACTTTTTTCCATGATGAAATCGACTCGGACACATAAGTAAAAGATAAACAATTGAAGAAAGTGGAGCTACTTTCGTTTGGTTTGGTTTGTCGTGAAGGCTTCGACTTTTGGACGGGACGAGAATGAGAGCGGAATTGTATTGTTTCATTAAAATTTGAAGTGATTCGAAGAATTGGAATTGTGTTGGGATCGGAATGAACGAGCCGGGTTGAAGTGCACCCTTCAAATCTAATTGATAATGACAAACAGACAAGAGTGGAAAAAGAGGGGATACAGCCAAAATAGAAAATCCTCTCTTACGCCAAACTTGCCGCAGCCCGAGATGGAGTGATCGACTAATTTATGAGTTAATAGAAATAATTTGATTCGTAAATGGCGAAAATTTTAGAAATTTTATAAATAATTTGAAGATGATAACGTGTAATTTGACCAGTTTTGCGTTTGACGCTTGCTTTTTTGACCCGTTGCCCTAAAAGCACTAAACAATGGATAGGAATGATCTGTCGATTGCATTATGCTTATGATACTCTGTAAAAAGTTACCAATGTCGCCTAATTTATTCAACTTGTGAAAAATAATGGGATACAAATACCTTTCATCTGTCTACAAAAATTTGCTACCTTATCTTCATTCGAAATAGGTGCAAAATTTTGTAAAAGTTTGTAAGGTTACAGAATTTATGGATTTACTACTTTGCCAAGAACTTCGTGAATTGCCTCAATATAACACTCTTTCCGAGACGTATGTACAGACAGACAGACATTTTAGTCATATAAGTGCTTGATCCCACCCAAACCAAAATATGTATCGAGTTATTCGAGTTTTACTTTACTCCAGGGACCGTACACAAAGAATGGGATCGATTTTTGCTAAATTTTTACCACCGTAATTACTATTTCCTACAAAATTAGAGACAAAAAATTGGAAAATTTATCTTGCAGATTGACAAATTAGCAGATTTT